GGTGGTGGTGGTGGTGTGGTCGGCGTGATGTGGTGATGTCCGTGTTCGTGTGGTGGTGATGGGGTTGGTCGTGGTGATGGGTGGTGTGTGGTGGTGGTGGGTGGTGGTGGTGGTTGTGGTGAATGCGTGTGTGGTGGTGTGGTGGTTATGATGATGGGTGGTGGTGGTGGTGGTGATGCGTGGTTGGTGGTGTTGTGGTGGTGGTGAATGGTGATCAGGTGGGGTGGGTCGGGGGTGGTGTGGTGGTGTTGATGGTGAGACGGATGATGGTTGGTGGTGGTGATGGCTGGGGTGGTGGTGTGGTCGGATGAGTGGTGGTGGTGGTGATGATGATGATGATGGTGGTGGTGGTGGTGGTGATGGTCGTGTTCGTGGTGGTGGTGGTGGTGATGGCGGTGGCGGTGATGATGGTGGTGGTGGTGATGGTGGTGTTGGTGGTGGTGGTGATGGTGGCAGTAGTAGTGGTGGTGGTGATGGCGGTGGCGGTGATGGTGGTCGTGGTGATGCTAGTGGCAATGATGGTGTTATTATGAGTGTGCGCGTGCGTGTGCGCCTGTAGGATTGTTCAGGTCTTTGTACATAAAACGATTGCTTGCTTTATTGCCGTTCGTTCGTGCGTCGACGAGATAAGCGTAATTAAAGCGTGTTTATTGCCAACGCCAACCCGCAGTAGTCGCCGCGTATAGCTCCGTGTAAAATAACGCATCACCCTCCACATGGGGGGTGGGGGGGGGTGGACATACGCTACTGACTTACTACATACGGTCAGCGAGTGTGGCGGCATACGCTACTGACTTACGTTATATGGTCAGCCAGTGTGGCGGTATCCCTGCTACTAGCTCTAGTACTATAGCCTGCGGCAGCTATCCGCGGGCTATAGTACTAGAGCTACCCTGCTACATACATATCGCCGCGTGTGACGCGCATGCATTATTCTAATTACAATGAACTATATAACTATATATAACTATATACTACATATCAAGAGTTCATAATAGAAGATTATATTCTATTATGATAGTTCCGATATTTCTGATATTTCGATTCCATGGAATTTTGATACTATATATAACTATATAACATAACTTAACCGCTAGCGTTATACATGTCGGTGTTTTGTCTCCGTGACGCAGGTGTCCCAGCTGTCATCGTGATTGTTACCGTCGCCGTGCAGCCATCGGCCTACTACTACGAGCATGACAATTAGTAAGAATCAATATCATACATCTCGTATGTGACTTTTAAATGCAGATATTAACTCTGACACGCCAACATCTGAGCGTCAGAATAATATAAATATGATAATGAAATATCAATAGATCCAAAAGAATAAGGCGAAGTATAATAAGACGTAGCGATTTTCTAGTGAAGAACGCATATGTGAGTTATTACCAATTAGTATAACTGATTCTGTAACGTAATTCGATAATATTTTGATAATCGTCACATGAAACGCCTTCGGCAGCTTTTTACGTAAAATTCCAAGTATTTCTGTTGGGAATTTTAACTTGAATTTGAAGTTCTCAGCATCCATCGACATCTTCCATTGCCATTTACTGTTCGGTACCGTCCGTGCGAAATTACATCTGCTTTGATTTTCGGACAATCTGTAAAGCGATTGTCCTTTACGTCTGCTTCCCATTTACGTGGTTTTTTACGATTGTTCTTTTATGTGTGTGACTAAGACCTGGACTTGAAGGTTGCCATTCTAGTAGTTTAGAAATATTTTACGATACCCATCACTTACACCACATTACATTACATTATTACATCATACATTACATCATTACAACATTACATCATGCATTACATCATACATTACATACATACATTACATCATTACATCATTACATCATGCATTACATCATACATTACATCATACATTACATCATACATTACATCATACATTACATCATTACAACATTACATCATACATTACATCATACATTACATCATACATTACATCATACATTACATCATTACAACATTACATCATTACATACACAACCGCTGCGACGGGCGGTATTTTTTTCTATTGTAACATCTACATGCGTGTGTCGTTGCAGCTGCCGTCTCTCTCCGTATACGTCCGTGTATGCGTACTACGTGGGACTTCTGCTGCCTGCCTGCATTCTCATCCTCGGCAACCTAGTCATCTTCGCGCGCGTTGCTTGGGTGATCTTCTCCACGCCGACGCAAGGTGGCAGCAGCGGCGCCGAGAGAGCGAACGGTGGCGTTAGCGTGACGCAGGTACGCGGCGCCATCATGGTCATGGTGCTGCTCGGAGTCACGTGGGTGTTCAGCGCCTTCGCGATTGGTCGAGGCCGCGTCGCGTTCGCCTACATCTTCTGCATCGCCAACTCTCTACAGGGCTTCTTCATCTTTCTGCTGCGCTGCCTCGTGCACGCCGAGGCGCGCGCCGCCTGGAGGCATCTACTCACCTCGTGTCGACTGCGCACGTCGAAGAAAGGCACGGAGACGTCGTCGCTGCAGACGCTCTCTGGCGGCAGTCAGTCGTCGGGGCCTTACGAGAAGATGCGCAAGGGCAGCACGACGACGACAGTCTGGTATAACCCGTGGCGACACGGCGGAAAGCAGCAGCAGCAGCAACAACAACAACAACAACAACAACAACAACAACAACAACAACAGCATCAGCAGCAGCAGCAACAACAACAACAACAACAACAACAACAACAACAGCTGCAGCAGGAGAAGGCAGCGGAGAAGAGGCGTAGGAACGGGGAGCCACGGCTAGTGAAGATGGTGGAGCGAGTGGATAACGTGTGATGAGAGAAGGCGCGCGATAACAGAAACGTCTCTGGAAAAAAAATAGGCACTTTACGTATAGACGATGTATATATGCATAACGGCGCTTATCCGTAGTGGTGTGGGCGATGCATGTGTGAGTACCGTGTAGGTATGTGTAGCCGTAATGGTGCTGATAATATAATATAAGTACCCCGCGACTCGGCTTGTAAACCTGTATTCGTACCGAATCAGAGTCACATGAACGCGAGAAATATTGCGATCATGGCTTGGCATTTTTTGGACCACCCAGGCGTCGACGATATACGAGAAGACCACCGTTAATCGGCTAAAAGACGAGATACATTCCAACGGGCTCACTCGATAGTTCTAAACTGCCAGCAGCGCAGCCGATCTGCGTCACGTGATTGCTTTCATGCGGAAATGGCGGGAAATCGCGGATATTTATCGTCGTTTTATATCGCGATTACACTGAGAAAACATAACTTGCATAATATATAGCTCCATATATGTATGTATTATAATCGCGTGGATAAATTTGTTTTGACGTGAGGGTAGCTGTCTGGTATGACGGTTATTGGTGCAGCGAGCATTAATAAAGACTGAAGCGTGTGTAGTAACACATAACTAACTACTAATTGACTGAGCCATACCAACTATTCAACCTGTCTAAGGGGTGATATCTATTACGAGTGTTTCCAACTTTAATGTCATTAATGGTCATAATAACATATATATATATGGTCATGGTCATATATTAGTTTGTGGTTTAATGTCATTTAGGTTAGGGTTAGGGTTAGGGTTAGGGTTAGGGTTAGGGTTAGGATTACAATCATTAATCATTCATCATTAATGATATCAAAGTTGGGAACACTCCTAATGGAGCGTTAGCCTGTCTAAGACCAGACGCTAGTCTTGACAACGGTGATGCCCCTTATTGTTATAAGCCGTTAAACATATACTGCTATGTCCTGGGAACCACGATGTGGCAAAAGGCAAAGCGAGCGAATTAAGCTGATTCATACAATATGTAATATTTCATTATTGAGAACCGAAAGACGTGAGTGTATAATGGTATCTTGCAAGCTAGAACAGAAGTAATTAATATTTATTATAATTTCATATATACGTTATTTCTGTCATCTCATCTCGATGTAGAACAATGGCTACGACTACTGCTGATTGGTAATGTAAATGATGTGTCTATTTCATCGTTGTTGGTTGCTGACTGCATCAACGTGCTGCCCGGCAGGACGATAGGCTGTAGAAATATATGCCTAATGTTTGTGATGCATAATATATACATTTATATATGTGCATGTATGTGTCATCCATCCATCCATCCATCCATCCATCCATCCATTCATCCATATATCAGACTCGCATAGAATGGATATTTGATATTTTCTGCAACATTTAGCCGAATCAAGATGATATGTGCACGTAGCTATCCGCTGTGCGCACCACTTACATTTTAACACGTGATCTGTGAAGGCTTCAGACGGCGCCATTACGACGCTAGAGGGCCTACTCGGCGCGATCGGCAACGGAACACAGATGTCGCTGGCGTCGTTGGCCTCCCTCACTCTCCAGCTAGAGGACCTGCTCAGCATTGCCTTAGAAGATCTGCAGGTACGACCATGCCGCCTTTCTGTAACAATAGAACTCGCGTAACACGCACGTGTGATGAGGCCGAACTATACACACGCCGTCTGCCGCATAAATTCCTGCACACGATTAGACTAGGACCCAGGCGTCTATGAGCTGACACACTCTCCATTGACATTGATGTGACAATGACACCCATGTCACCTTGTTCGCTAGTGTGCGAGTGGCCGGTTAGGTGTATGAGAGATATCGAGTGTGCAAATGACGCTAAAATTGTCTGACTCTCGCATCTATACGTATTTGTTGATGTATTACGTTGGTATTACAATGCGTGTTGGCGTCGGCAATAAATATGAACGCGATATGTCTGTATAAGTTCACGCGCGTGTGTCTTCAGGTGGCGCACCGCCTCATGGGTGTGATCAGTAACCTCATGGATTTAGACGCAGCTGCCATCGGTGACCAGGAAGCGCTGAGAAACGTCAGTAAAAGGTATACGCCGTCGTACGAACCCCCGGATTACCAACAACAGCATCCCACGATTAACTCGTGCCTTAGGCTCGATTAACTCAATTTTGAGTTAAAAAAGGGCTAAATTGACTCAATTTACCTCGGGGCAGATCCGTGTCTTATAGCTTACAGCCCCCGTCCTAGACCCAATTCTTCATAGCTATAAAACAGCTGCCCCAATTCGTAATTAAATGTACGTATGTCCGATTGATACAGGGCTGGAACCACCCATAGGTTAATCAACGGCGAGGTGATGTTCGTAATAAAAATAACCCGCTACCGATCAGGTATCAGTTATTAATTACCAGGTATGTAATGCAGGCGGTGCGAGGGTTGATGGCGACTTGTCGTGTGTTGCAGACTTCGCGGCATCGTGCACGCGTACACGGCCATGGTCCGCATACCGAACGGCGACGCATCTCTGACGCTGAGCACTCGCAACCTGGAGCTGACGGTGCTCGACGTGCAGCCACACCAGAGCAACGATGCGATCCCGTACTCTCGCACGCCGTCAACCGTACGCGACGTGCGTTACCAGCCGAGGCCGGTACGACGACCATCGAAATTACGATTGAGTGTTCGGAAAATGGAAGATCGATACATCGAAGATCGTCTTGGTGTTGCGTCTTGGTGTCTTTGATTCTTGTGATTTGATTGTGTGTGTGTGTGTGTGTGTGTGTGATAAGACACTCATTACGTCAAGAGATCGCGTGTGCGTGTCTACTGTCTATCCGTAATATTGCCAGTACGCGCGCCATCGCCATCGTCGTCGCTGATCAACGCCATCGTCATCGTTGATCATCGTCATCGTCATTGTTGATCATCGTCATCGTCATCGTCATCGTTGATCATCGTCATCGTCATCGTCATCGTTGATCATCGTCATCATCGATTATCGTCATCGTCATCGTTGATCATCGCCACAGTCGGCGGCGGGCGACGCGTGCCGTTAGCATCGAATCTCGTCGGCACATCTAGAACCCGCCCGCGCGTCGCACGAGAACAAACACGTCCTCGATCGTCTGCCGCAAGCGCACGCGTGTCACACAGCAGCGATGATGTCGTCGGCAACGACGTCGGGAAGTCCGACCGACGGCACGACGAAGGCGCCGTTCAACGGCACCGTCACATGTCCGGACGCGATGACCGTCGGCGACGAGAAGACCGTCGTCGATGTGACGCAGCAGCGCGACAGCTGGACGGGCAAGTTGGACTTCATCATGTCGTGCGTCGGCTACGCGATCGGACTTGGCAACGTGTGGCGCTTCCCCTACTTGTGCTACCAGAACGGAGGCGGTAAGCGCGCCGACACACGCACGCACGCACGCACGCACGCACACACGCACGCACGCACACACGCGCACGCACGCACGCGCGCGCACACACACACGCACGCACGCACACACACGCGCGCGCGCGCACGCACGCACGCACGCACGCACGCAGGCATGCACGCACGCACGCACACGCACGCACGCACGCACGCACGCGGTAGAGTTATACATAGTCGATTAAAAAAAAAGCTTTAAGAAAGATATGTAAATTATATATGTATAGATGATGAGATATGTAAAGATGTGTATAGATATATGTATATGTATATATATATAAATCATCTATATTTATGTGCGTGCGTGTGCGCGGCGGTAAATTCGTGTCGCTCTTAACCTGCCCAGTAAGGGCTCCCGGGTAGCAAGAATTGGTTCCAAAATCTTGTTCGTAAGTCGATCTGGGAATTTAAGCAGTAGAAGTGTGACGTGGTTCCGTACACGCTCACGTGGTGGCTTGCGGTTCGCGGGTAGCGTGAAATTATAAAAAAAATATTAATGATGAAGAGGTTTTGGTTTAAGTCGTGATGCTACTCAAGTCGGCCACCTCCTAGGTCTCATTATCAGAAATATAGAGAAGAGTAATAGAGAGAAATATAGATATTAAAATTAGTCTTAACTCTAACTTGTAGTTCGTTGACAGAATCTTTTTAGTAAAGTTATGAAGAAATGTGGTAGGATTCTTTATTCGCGTATAACTTTACGTCTTGTTTCTGTCAGTCATCTAAGAGTAGAACTTAATGTTAAGACTAATTCCAAGATTAATTTTGCTTCTGACAGCGGGCCCCTGCAATATATCGGCACGCAAGAGTATAATTACGGATTGTACTTTACAGTGTAGTGGCTACGGAACGCGCAAAAAATCACATCTAGCTCCCCCACAGTTTTGTTCGTATAATGTTCTTCTACACGGCCAGTCGTACTAGTTTCTAAACTTAAAGTCATACTACCACGATATTAGCCTCAGTTACACATTGATATGTAATGCTAGATTTTTATGCACACCATCCAATGTGGTAATATTTTTATGTTGCATTCTTGGAATGACAGCAGCACCCTCTATCGGCACGAAAACGTTTTATACACCCTACATGGCAGCATACTGGTGCCGTATATCGCTACTACAATATGGTCTGGTGCTACATTTTGACCTTGGTTTCGTAATTTTCCGGAAACGCGATCTAGGAGTAGGCGCAGTTATATTTCCAGATAGCCGGAACTAACCAGTTCTCCACTAAACTTTTAAACTTTTATAGTATGCAACTATATAGCCGGCCCACCCACTGGCAGCAAGAACAAGTCTCCGCAGATATCCTATAGATATTCTGTCGATAGGCTGCGAGCTAGAGACGATTCGTAGAGAGAGGGTGCTTAGCGCGTATAATTCGTCCGCGCGTCTGGTGATCGGTGCGTGCGTCCACGCCCGTTAGCAGGCGAAAGAAACGTCGACTAAACCGAATAAACTCGCTGCTTGTCTATTAAACACACATCTCGTCTGAACGCGAGCAGCAGACGCCGCCGCCGCGTTGTCATGCAAAATCCGGCCCCGCGTCGAACCCCGACGCTGCTGCGCATGCGTCTTAGCGGTCGCCTCGATCTCAGTGGCCCCCGAGAACTGGGGGGGGGGGGGATGAGAGTGCCTGTTTGCCCTGCCCGTGAGAAGTTCTCGGTAAATAAGCGCAACCGGATCGCAAATGCGTTTCGCCAAGTAGCGAATAAGTGGAAAATCCTTTACAAGTGACTCGCCCGTCACGCAAAGCGAGGGGCGATGCTAGATTATGTAGGTGGGGGTTAAGTTAGGATTATAATCAAACTTGCGGCTAGTAATACAGCACTAATTTACGATAAAATTGCGGTTTTTTTGCCTAACACCACGCGTAACGGGCTAAGGGAGAAAGGGTATTTTAGGGTATTTACTATGACAAATCTTAGAACGCATCATGGTTCTGCCAACCACTCACCCGCAGACAATTTCCCTCGTCATATTATTTTTAAATAAAATTAAAAGCGATGTAACGATTATGCTTTCTCTCTGACACGACTACCATTAAAACAACTGACTTCTCTGCCGCACTTCGAAGAGTTCTTTTGTTGTTACACACACTACCGAGAGAGATTTGCTCGTTGCTTCTATGATCAGTGATTACGTCACCATAAATAGTAAAAGGTAAAAAAAAATTATATCCATTTTTTCACAAAATGTAAGTGATTCTGTTCAATTTTTATGGTTAAATTGCTGCATTATACTTCCTATTTTGCTATTCCGTTCGATGTGAACAAACACTCGTGACCCATACATAGGCCATAGCAAGCATTTAATGTCGTGATCAATATATCAAATTGCCCAGGTTTTTTGGATTTTTAACTAGTTAAGAATTTGGGGATACATTTAGTCCAAACAAAATTCAAACAAAAATTTTACGAATATACACCATAGAAAATTAGTGACGTAGTCAATTTAACGCTACTCATAGCGGCAAGCTAACGCATGTTCGTTATTAATTCGTTGTTATTTCACTGAGTACATGTCGCGTAGGCGCTTCGCAGCAGGCAAACCAACGTCGTATACCCAGTGTGGTCGGTACAGGTCATCTCTGATCCATCCTACATCTGTCTTCACGAGTAGGAAAGATTAATGCCATCAAGAGCGTATAAAGAAGGGTTCTAAGAAAGATAAATTCTTAATACGCTTTTGATGGTGATCCTGTTTAACGGAAAAAAAAACCCAGCCAGCCGCCCGCCAGTGAAAACAGTGTATCTCTTCACTAGCTCAGTGGGCACACGAAAATTATTATTAACGAAAAAAAAGTATGTCGAAGACGCGAAAAAAGATTCGAATGTATTGTATACTAACACTTTTTATACTAATACACAACCTCAATTGGAATATTGGGTAAAGCTGCCAGCCGCTCCACTTCTCTCGTCCGCTCTCCCAATTCCTCCTCCTGCCAGGTTTCTCACCCCAACGCGTCATACACCCGCGGCACGTTGTCAAACCAAAAGAAACAAAAGTTAAATAGCCTAACATTAACTTTTCTCTTAGACGTTGACGGAAACGCCTACGAAGCTTCGAGATAAAAACATCTAGCAGATTCTCATAAGCAATACGAAACAGTGATGTCGACGTCTAGGAGCAAATGGTAATGCTAACTAATGTTAAGACAAATTTGTTCTCTGACAACGAGCCCCCGCCGGTTAATAGACAGCACCAAATAGAAACAGTCGTTGCACACGGCGAAGCGCTTGCATCACTCTTGCCTTTTAATGGTATATGCGACAGCAAAGGCGATGAGCTTCTCAGGGCCTAACGCGCCTGAGGCGCGTATGCCGCCATAGATCGAAGTCGGCTTCTAGCGACGGACGGGCGTCAGACCGCAAATTCTGCCCAGAGGGTAACATCGACGTGCAGATTTCTGTCCGACCGGATTAGCATTTTCTTGCACGCGCGCTGCGATATTATGCATTTTTGGCGCGTGAACTCGCGCGCGATATTGTCGTCTCTCATTCTCGCATCGATCATTGCTCGGCGCTTGCTAGTCTTGTATCTTACAGGACGTGCCGAGACGCGGCGAAATGTCGGCGCGCCGCCAACACCGAGAGAAGGGGAGCGCCCCGGCACGATTTCACGTATTCCAATTGATGTTGTGTAATATAGTGATAGAATACATCCGATCTTTTCGCATCTTCGCGCAATCTCTTTTTTTTTCGTAACGGAAGGCATTAATCTTTCTTACTCGCCATCTCTCTCCTCGGCGTCGGCACGATCGTCGGAGGGCTGTTATTCGCCGTTGTAGCTGCGGGCGAGTATATGCATCGGCGGATGTCAATCGTTGACGTGGGTATTTGCTGGGCGTTATCCGGATGCGTCGCACGGACGGCGAGTTCATACGGTATAAACGGCGTTTTCTCGCAGACATCGTTCTTATCGCGCATTCAACTCATAACATATGCAGGGCTAAGCATTCTTGTAACTATTTTTCACTCGATTTTGTATATATGACACTGATCTTCTCTCGGTCTCTTCAAGCTCTCCCTCCCTCGTGTGCGTGTGCGCGGCGCGCGCCAGCGCGGTGTGTGTGTGTGTGTGGTGTTGTATGTGTGACGCGTGCGCGCGCGCGCAGCGTGTGTGTGTGTGTGTGTGTGTGTGTGGTGGTCGTGTGTGGTGGTGATTGTTTGTGTATGGTGGGTGTGTGGTGTGGTGTGTGTGTGTGTGCGTTGTTGTGTTGTAGTGTGTTTCGTGCTGGGTATGTGCGCGTGTGTGTTCGGCTACGCGCCGCGCGGCGGTGTATGTGTGTGTGTGTGTGGGTGTGTGTGTGTGTGTGGTGTTGTGTATGTGTGTTGTGTGCTGTGTGGTGTGGTGCTGCGTGCCGTGCATGCGTGCGCGTGTGCTGGTGTGCGTGCGTGCGTAGCGGGCGGCGTGTGTGTGCGGCTGCGTGTGTGGTGCGTGCGTGCGTGCTTGCGTGCGTGTGGTGTGTGTGGTGCGCGCCCGTGTGTTAAACGTGTGTGTATATGCTTTCATCGCTCGTGCGCAGCGCGCCGTGTGTGAGCCGGCTTAACTGCGCACACTTTTTCCTCTTCGCTCGCTTCAGCTCTTCTCCCTAACTCCCTCTCTCTCCTGCTTCACGCCGCGCAGTAATCGCCGCCTCAGCGCTATACGGCATCTCTTCATATAGCTCTCGACGCACCTCGGAGACCTTGCGCTGCGTAGTGGTGACGGCAGCCGCAGCAGAGCGCTCAGGTTCAAAGCGCGCAGCAGCAGCAGCGTCATTCGCGCTCGCACCAGAGAAGAGGAGCGGAGAGAGAGATAAGAGAGCGAGAGATAGAATAGCAGAAGAGACGAGAGTAGAGAGAGGCAGAAGAGAGAGAGAGAGAGAGAGAGAGAGATCGGAGAGAGAGAGCTGAGGCGAGATATCTATAATAATATATATATAGAGAGAGAGAGAGAGAGTAAGATAGAGCGAGAGAGAT